TTTTTTTTTTTTTTTTTTTTTTTTTTTACGCTCAACCCTTAACCTTCGATACATCCACAGAAGGGGTGAAGAAAGAACTCCATGTGAATACCGCTTGCGCTTGATTCCTCGGTCAAGTGTAGCTCTTTTTCCCGGCGTTGTTCGCGCTAGAGGGGATCCCTTCCCAGTGACACGGTCGGAAGGCACACAAAAATCGTTCGTGGTCGCGCCGACGGGCCGTTCCCACGTAGTGCCATTTCGTCCCTCCAATCAGGAGAAGAGTGAAGAGATCGTCTTTACTCATCTCGATTGGCCAGCAGGAAAAAGAAAAAAAAAAACAAAAAAACAAATTAGCAACTTGCTCAAATCAAAGTGTCTGTACAAAATGAGTGAAGAAATCCCGAATTCAACAATCGATGGAGTTCCCAACGATAGACTACATATACAAAACATCCCTCCTCACCTGACGGAGTCGCACCTAAGAAACTTATTTGGAAACGCAGGCTATGTGATAACAGATGTGTGTTATTTTAATAAAAACAGAAAACAATCAAACAATGGTTTTATGAACAGGAAGGTCTACAACACTGCGCTAATTACGTTTAGCACACACGAGGAGGCTTTAAGTGTCTTGAGGAACATCAAGAGCATGATTGACACGAACAATCAGGACAAGAGTATCGAGGCCAAGTTCGCCGTCCCCAATGTGAATAATAATTCTGGTGCAAAGAATAGTAGTAGTGGCCATGGCGCTGGGGGAAGTGGTGGAGGAGGTGGTCCACATGGTCCATTTGGAAACAGCAACTTCCAAAAGAGCTTTAACAATAACGACGATTTTAACAGCGGCGGAATGAACAGCTACAATTTTTTTAACAGTTCAGGAAATGTGCAAGGAAATTTGGCCACCAGGAATATGATGAAGGGGAAGAACCCTAATAATGGAATGATGATGATGATGATGAATAATGCGAACAACACGAGTGGCATGAACGGAGTGCTTGGTCCAAATGACCGTCCTATGAATGGAGGCATGTTTAATCAGAAAAATAATTTTATGATGAGCAATCCAAATTTGGGTACTGGGAAAAGCATGCCTGAAATGGTGAAGGGCGATGGACAGTTTCCTCCCCCCGGAGGGAACCCTAATATGGGGAATATGCACAATGTGGGGGCCGTTAGTGGGGTTGGCTCTGTTGGTGGTGTGAACCCTATGAACGGTTTGCATAACGAGGGGGGTGGAAGCGGAAGCCACGGGAACGCACACGGAGCAAGTAGCACCCCTGCCATGTTCAGGCAAATGCAAAGCAACAACAATGGAAATGCCTTCCAGCCGAGCGATTTCGTAATGGAAGAATGCAACGAAAATATTGAAGGCTTAAGTCTGTGGGAAATTTACAAAGATAAAAATAACAACACCTATTATTTTAATACCCTTACGAAGCATAGCCAATGGAACAAACCCATTCACCCAAATAAATTGTTTCACTTTAATAACAATGATAAAACGAAGTTGAATGGTCCTAATGGAAGCAATTTATTTATTTTCCACATACCAAGTGAATGGACTGACATGGACTTATTTCAGCACTTTTGTTGCTTTGGCAATATCATATCTTCAAAAATTCAGAGGGATAATACGGGGAGGAACTCTGGGTTTGGCTTTGTGAGCTACGACAATATCCTGAGTGCCCAGCATGCCATTCAGTTCATGAATGGGTACTTTGTGAATAATAAGTATTTGAAGGTGCAGCTGAAGAAGGGCGAGGCCGCGGAGAAGGCATAGGCGATTTGCGCCTTGGGGCAGAAATAATATTATTGTGAGGAGTCGACTCGGAGGAGTGGACTCGGAGAAGCGGACTCGCGAAGCGTGTGTGTGAAAAGCGTATTGTGTAGCGCGCTACCACGAGGCGCAGAGGGAAGGCTACACCTATACAGGAGAACTTTTCCTACCAAGTGCGAGCAGGAAGACACACCACGTCAAATCTGATGCGCGCGCACCGTCGCCGCTACCATGTGTTTGTCTTTATCCATTCCCATGTGTGTTTGCATTTCACGTTTCCCCACATGCGTGTGTTGTGCACCCGTGTTGGGTGCAACAGGACACACTTGTCACGTGCAGAGGGAACAATTTTTTTTTTTTTTTTCCCAAGTGAGGTCACGAAAAGGGGGAAGAATAAGAATGTAATCAGTTTTAGCTGGTCAGAGGGGGGTAGAAGTCTTCCACCCCTACCTCCACCGCCACAGCAAACATCCAAGGATCGCTCCAAGCAACTGTGTACATGCACAATGAGAGAGGGGAAAAAAAAAAAAAAAAAAAAAGAATCAAGTGGGTCACCAATGAAAGCACACCCAACTGTACAATGAGCCAAATTGTCGCACAGCTTTATTTTAAAAAATTGTTAAAATGATTTATTTTATTTTTTTTTTAAGTCAAAAAGAAGAAGAGGAAAAAGAAGAAGCCTTTCGTGTACCTCCACTTTAACTTCACATTGTGCGTGACATGTGTATATGTATATATATATATATATATAAGTTTATTTATTTTAATTTAATTTTATTATTATTATTTTTTTTTCATTTCACCACCTACGTGCCCTTTGCATTCCTTTCACAGCTAATTCGATTTCATGGTCCCCTCTTGTTTTTGCACAAACACTCATGTGTACCCGTGGGCGCACTTCATTGGGGCGGATTTGTGCCCCGCACGTGTGCGCAACGGGTTTGTAATAACAACCGTTGTAATGGACAAACTGGACAACGTACCTTCCACCTTTTATATATATTTAACCCTTTTTATCACGTCCAAGGGAGATCCGCCCATTAGCTTCCCCCGCTTCCAGCTGCCCTGTCTACCAGGCGCATTCCCATCCTTGGCAAAGGAATGTGCGAGGGGTAACTGTGTGTCTTCTGCGACTGCCTAACGAGGAGGGCTTCTACAAGTGGGGCCTATCAGCTTGGTCCACGTGTGGCCCAACGGAGTATAGTTCCCCCCTGTGGGCATTTCATCCGAACGTTCATACATTCCACGCACAAGGAAGAATTTGAAAAAAAAAAAAAAAAATCCAGCACAAGTGAACAATCCCCTCTAGCATTTATTTACCTTCGCCAAGTTGGCTGCCTTACCGCTCTACTGCTTAGCCATCAGTTGACGCCGCTTTAAAGCAACGGTGTAACTGTGCTGGTGACGAGAGACAACTTCTCCTTTTCTGTAGGCCGCCCAGAAGTGGCGCTCCGCATTGCTGCATGTCCGCAGGCGGAGAAAGCTAACTTAAAAAAAACCTTTTCATGGGACCTTCAGCCAGTTTTAAAATATGAGCCTGTGTATAAGTACCCGTTAGGAAGAGGCCCATTGGAATATATATATAGAGCAACGCCCGTTGCTGAAGCCACGTGAGAGGGATTTTTTTAAAGGCAAAACGAAAACAAATTGCGCGAAATTAATAAAGTTATCATGTGGCCAAAAGGCAGGTGGACCAAAATGGAGATAATCAAATCGGCATGAAGGTGTATAGCGTACGGGTGTGTAATTATCCATGTTGGAAAAAAAAAAAAAAAATCTTTTCAGTGCTTCCCATGTTGAGTAAAAAACGAGGGCACGCATGCAAATATATTTAATCAACAAGCGCCAATGCATTCGCTAAGGTGTGTGTGTGTGTGTGTGTGTCCCACATTAACGAAATGGACTGCAACAGGTAAGCATGACAAACAGGTTTCGCCCAGGATTGTCTATATGGGATAGGAGAAAAAAAAAATGGACACATAACTGGGTGCGACATGTTGGAAACCCCGCATTCGCTTCACTCCCTCATGCTTCCCATTTGGTGGGCCAGCTCCACGGCTAATTGAGTGGTCATCCCTTGCTTGCAGCACAATTCCCTGATTAATTCTGCTCCTTTTTGCTATCCTCAGGGAGGGGGGAAAGTGTTTCACTTTCGTGTGGCTCTTCCTTTTCCAGTTGATCTTTTTCCACATGCCCATTATGGTTCACCCCCTTATCATCCTCACTGTGCCCCTTTGTGTGCCCATCGGGGTGGCTCCCCTCCGTCTGTCCTTCCTTATCTGTGGCTTGGTCCGCACTACTTCCATCACTGCCACTCATGCCACTACTACCTTCACCGTTTGGGGGCTGCGCGTCACTGCCAATCGTGCCGCTTCCCTCCACGTGGTCTTTTTTCTTCTCAATAAAATCGTACACAATAATATTCGCCTCATTTATGTTTTGGGGTTTATTCTTCTCGTTGTCTGTTTCAGTCGTGCTAACTGCTGATGCACTTGCGGGAGTGGGCGGTGTGTTGAACTGTGTAATGTTACCCATAGAATCGGTAAGAGGATTGTCAGGCGGTTGTGTAGGCTCACGATTCAAGCTATTCACATACCTCCTATACTTAACTCCACTAACAAGAATGAATGTTAAAAATATGAAAATAAAAATGATATACAGTCGGTATTTGTTTAAGACTTGCTTTTTCTTTATCAGGTGGACCAAATTTTTTGCTTGATCTAATTTGTCTTTAATGAAAGGCATGTTGGATAAACCTCTTCTTATGGAGTCCCTCTGTTTGTTCAAATTTTGCAACACGTCGTTACTTATATATTCTGCATTTGTTAATAAAATTTTGGACTGATTTATATACATGTCTCCTTCTTCAAGGAGATCCACATCGCTTAGTAGGAGTACTCTATCATCATAGTTGCTGTTGATTTGAGTTTTTTCTCTTTCTTTGGCGAGGAATCTTTCCTTAAGTATATTTAACTTGCCTTTATACTCGGTGATCTCCCTGTGCAGGTCGTTGAGATCGCTCTCCTTATTTCCTATGAGCGAATTTGCTTCTACTTCCAGCTGCATTCTCTTGAACATATTTTCTGCGCTTCGGATGGCCTTCTCGTAAATGTTTATCAATTTGTGCTTATCGGAGTTATTGTCCTGGAGGATCCTCTCCGTGTAGGACACCGTCTTCATGTACTCCTCGCAGTTGTTCTTGTAGTCGTTGTACAGCGCGTCCGCCATGGTTGCTAAAGAGGGGTGCACGGGGTGGGACAAGCTACGCGAACAGCGACGCGAACAGCGACTTTCTTGGGTGCCACTTCCAAAATACCCTACGCGACTGCGCACTTAAAAACACGTGCTACACTTTTTTACGCATTACACATGCGGATTTTGCCCCTTGTGGGTTTTGTCCTCCCTGATCGGACTCACATGCACAAACGTTCGCTCGCACCTGATTTCCTATGCGAAGAGCCAAATGGGGTTTTAAACCTTTCCCTACTAATCGAATGCGAGCTTGCGTGTGTTGACACTCAGCTACCGCTCCTAAGCCTCCTAAGTAGAGAGAGAGATGTGCTGCTAAAATGCAGTGGCAATGGGAGTCCTTTTTTTTTTTTTTTTTTTTTCCCCGCTCTTTTGACTCATCTCCCAGTTTATTTATTTGTTTATTTTTTTTTTTTTTCTTTTTTGAAATTTTGAAAAGAGGCGAATTAAAATGCCAAGTGCCCGATCGGTGCTCATACTGCGCGACGTGAATATGGCATTAATGAGGCACGTGTGAAGAGTTGCCGTGGCGGGAAAAAAAAAAAAAAAAAAAAAAAAAAACGATATAGGGTGATATATACGCCTAAATTAAAATAAGTAACGCCAAGGAAAGGTGCTATCCACTGTGATGACGCGAAACGCGGCTGCCAAATTCATCTTTTCCCTCAACCCAAGGCGCGGCGAAGTGCCCGTTGGAACAATTCGGCCACAATGAGCAGGGAGCAGCGTTTGGGAGCGAATCAGTTGAGAAGAAAAGCGTACAGGGGGGACACTGTGTTGTGACAACGATGACCGCGGCTATAGAGGCCATAGCAGCCATAGCGACGATCCCGTCAGTAAGGTCAAAAGTCAATACAATCCCGATATAACCTCACGGGAGGGCCTCGCCCACTTGAAAGGGTAGCCAGAGAGGTGGGGGTCAAACGATCATGCGAAACCACGACGCCTGTTCTGTTCCGCAGCCCATTCGAAGAACGCCTTTTATGAGGAACAAATTCAGCTTCGACAACGTTTTACCGATGAAACCGAAACTAAGTTGTTAACCTCTTTAGAACCGCATAAACCTGTAGCTGCTCTTCACGAACGCCCCGGACCAAAATGGTCGCAAGAGTTACGAAGACGAGTAATCGACTCACACATCACTTGGCTGCCACATCAAACTGTCAAGTGGCGTAACAGCAGGGGGTGTTGTGGTAAAAAAGGATAAAAAAAAAAAAAAAAAAAAAACACATAGTAGGCGCACAAATGGAATTGTACGGAGAGCTCTACGACTGTGACGAGTTGCTGGACGAGTATAATGCAGACTGCGGGGATGGAAGAAGTCACTTGGGGGAATCCCTCATGGGTGAGGATACCACTGCTGAGTGTATAGAGAACGAAGCGCACGTGAAAAACATAGAGGTAGACATAAAGAGCAACCAGAAAAACATATCGACCCAGTACCTATTCCTTTACATTAATACATTTAAACAAAAAAATATAAAAAGTGACAAAATTCTTTACGTTGTTAATTTCTACGACATCCACATGAAGAACGATGCTAAAAATGTTCTCGAGACGGAGAAGGACATGGTGGAGTATTGCTTGGAAAATGTTTCGAAGGCAAAAAGGGGAGACAGAAAAGGCCATGACGACGATGATGGTGATGCGGATGATCATCATCGTGGTGATGTGGATACCGTGTCGGGCAGGCAGCGCTCCAACAAGTACTACCTGTTTAAGATATACGAAACGATTTTGAAGTACTTCCCATTCAGCTTCAAGCTTTGGTATCACTACCTAAAGGACCGCATAGAATTATTGAGCGGCGTTTACTATGACGAGAAGGAGGAGTATGAAGAGGTGAATCGAGTGTTTGAACAGTGCATCCTATACATGTACCACTTCAAAGCCTTCTACCTTTTGTACATACAATTTCTTTACCTCCAAAGGAAGGTACAAAAGATAAGGCTAACATTTAACCTTGCCTTACAAAACGTCACCCTGAATCAACACGAAGACCTTTGGGAGTACCAGCTCAAGTACAATAAAAAAATAAAAAGCAAGTTAATAAATTACGAGTACATTAAGCGGTACGTGACGATTTATCCGGAGAATATTGTTTATCTTTTTAATCACTATGTCAAGTACAAAATGTGTAAGCATGCTCTGAACACATTTTTTTATATAATCAGTTGTGATGAGGAGGAAAATCTTGAATTGGGAGATAAATCGATATATGATTTGTACAAAGAATTATTTGATCTGATCAGTTCACGTAAAGTATTGGACAACGACGTGGTAGTAACATTGAGGAAAAACTTCAACACCTTTAAACGATATGAAAATGTTACATCCATTTATACGTTGCTTGCAAATAGCTTCGTATATGAGGGTCGTTGGAACAAGGCCATGGATGCGTATGAAGAGGGCATCTTGGAGTGCTACACGGTGAACGACTTCTCCGTTCTGTTCGAGGGGTACATTGAGACGATGAAGATACTCATTGAGTTGAAGATGCGAGGGGGGGACGGACATGAAGTGAGAAGTGATAGTGAGGAGGACAGTGATGGAGGCATGCGTGGCCGACTCCCTTCCGGTGAAGACGACTCCATGGTCGACCTCTACATGGACAAAATAAATTACCTGTTAGACAAACGAAAGGCATTCATAGCAGATATCAAATTGAAGAACAACCAGAAGAATGTTTACGTTTGGTTAGGCAAAGTAGACGCAGTGGAAACGGCGGAGGAGAAGGTGGAGCTCTACAACAGATGCTTAAAGCATTTTCAAGATGGGGATTACTCTGGTCGACTGAGCGACGTGTACATAAGTTACGCATATTTTCATTACAACCGTAACGAGTACGACAAAGCAGTGAATGTGTTCAATAGAGCTGTCCGCGATGATAATTTTAAAACGTTAAATGAAATTTCAAGTGTGTATTGCTCTTGGATAGAGGTAGAGTTACTGGAGGGTAATTTTAAAAAGGCGTTGCGAATAGCCAGGTTGGTTATCGATCTTAGTAACGATGTAGGGGGAGGTGGTAGTGGTAGTAGGAGGAGGGGTAGGATGATGAATTTTACAGGGGAAGGGATATACGAAGAAAGTGAATCACTTAGCGGAAGAAATATCCTCATGATACGAGATGACCATGTGGGAAACCTCAATCAAAATTTCAGCCTTTTAAATAATATAAAGTTAGCATGCCTTGTCCTTGATCTGGAAATAAATTATGGTACCATTGAAACTTGTATAAATCTGTTTGATCTGTTGTACCACAAAAAGATCATCACGGTGAGGATGGTCCTGTCCTTTGCCAACTACCTGTATGAAAACAAGTATTTTTATGAATGCTTCAAAACGTATGAGAAGGCCATTTCCATCTTCCATTATCCTTACCTGTACCCCGTGTACGTACACTATATAAATAAATATGTGGAACGTTACAAGGATAAGAATATTTCTTATGTGCGTGAGTTGTACAAACAAGCCATTTATGGAGTAGATGAAAAAACATTTATCCCGAAGGAATTTGCAAAAATTATTTTCCTTATGTATGCCTCTTTTGAGGAGAACTACGGGTTTTTGAAGAGGTCCCTTTCCATTTACAAGGAGGCCGTTCCTTTCCTGCCCGAGCCGGACAAAATCAAGTTTTACAAGCTCTTCATTTCGAAGGTGAGGCGCGTACTGCTTATGTGAGGCGGCACCGCGTCTCTGTGCAGGCGTCGCTTCCGTGAGGCGGCATCACATCTCTGTCGGGGCATCGCTTCCCTGCTGCTGCCGCGGCGAAGTGTACACCTTACATTCATCCACGACGCTTTTTCCCACTTACCTCATTTGCAGGTCTCCAAGTCGTACGGAGTACACAAGGCAAGGGAAGCCTTTGAAGAGGCCATTCAGACTTTGAAGGACGACGATGTAAGGAGCGCACCGGCCCCAATGCGCCGCTGCCCGTTGCACCTCTCTACGCGGCTCTTCCCACACTGTCATCTTCCCCTTTCATTTTCGCTTACCCCCCCCGCAGGCGCGTGAAATATGCCTCTTGTACATTGACATGGAGTACAAGCTGAACGAGTACCAGCGTGTCCGGGCGCTTTACATATACACAGCGCAGTTCACCAACCCCTCTGTGCACGTGTCCTTTTATCAGGTAAAGATCGTCGCAATAGTCGCCATAGCGGACCCGCTGCAGACTGTTTTGTATCCACCCTCCTCATTTTTTCTGCCATTTTTCTCCCCCCCTTTTTTGTTCTGCAGGACTGGCGAGAATTTGAAGCGCTGCACGGAAACGAGCACACCTTCAGGGACATGATAAGGATCAAGAGGAGTGTCCTCAGCCTATTCTCGTAAGTTCACAACCGTGCACTTCATACGTATACCTCCGTGCATACATGTGTGTGTGATAATTTCCTAGTGAATAACGCCTGGTGAGACGCGCCTTGTTCAGTCTTCCCTCCTTAACTCACCCCCCGTTAACCTCTTCCCCTCGTTGCAGAAACTCGCGCAGCGGTAACAAGCCATTGGGCATGTTGGAGAACGATGATGTGAACGGTTTGGAAAGTACTAAGATAAAATTGCAGGAGATGATTGACAATGAGGAGAACGCTCAGAAAAAGGTCAAGGTGGGTTGACCCCTTGGTTTATTTTACCTCCACTCCCTTTGAACTTTTCCCCTGGCTGTGGTGACGGTGTGGACGCTCAGTGAACAGCTGCGCAATGGACAGCAGCACACATTTGAGCGTCTCCATCTGTGTGTACACACTTAATTATGTGTATATATCCCGTTGACCGTATGTGTTACTACCTTCTTTTCATTTGGGCATGTCCCCGAGTGGGACAGGTTCCCTACCCTATGTGCGCTCCCCAGCGAAAGGGTCAAATGCAAGGAGTGGGGGTAAGGGAATCGGCATTACCGACATGTCACGTTGTTTTATTTAATAACCCCCCCCTCTGCAGTGTTTGTTTTGTGTATCATTTTGCCGTTACGTTTTTTTTTTCTGACTTTTTTTTTTTTTTTTTTTTTTTTTTTTTTTTTTTTTTTTTGCCTTTTTATTTTTCTGAACATTTTGGCGGCGTGGAGCCATCATAAACGCACACACCATGTGTATCTCTAAAAAACCTTCAACGTGGAAGGGAATGGCTAGTCCTGTGGAATGTCCTATATGAACATATGGGTTAGCTCTCCTGGAGCAATGCGCAGAGAATGAAGTAGTGACTCGCGCGGAGGTGATAAATCACGCTGTGCTTGGCGATACTCTGTCCAAATGGCTTGCGGGAAAATACCCCCTTTTTTTTTTTGCTGTCTCCGTAGGGGTAAAATTGAAAAAAAAAAAAAAAAAAAAACGCTGAAGTACCTCTCCAGCGCAACACCGCTCAAAATTATTTGTTTCCTCCCCCCCTGTGATGGTATGCAGTTGCAGGGAAAGATTAATGGCGTAGTGTATAGTATGCACATGCACAACGTTCCACCCTGCAGGGATGTGTCCCCAATAGAACATATACACATAGGTACATACGTCTACATATACGTTGACGTAGTTGTGTAATGATTGGAGCAAAATGGGATTCACCTTCAAATTTTACAAACATAAGGACCTGTTCCGGTTGAAGGAAAATTGGAAGGATATTGGGGAGCACGTTTTGTACTGCTCGAGTGAGGAGAAAAGAAGTTTGAGTGATGAAGATGTTGTCCCTGGGAGTCGCCCTTGCGAGGGATATGGTGACATAACCTATCCCGCAATTGTAAACACCATTCAGTACTCATCCATTTGTATGTCTATTTTTAACAAGCAAAACGAAGTAGCAGGAATTGTTTCTCTTGACTATGAATTGTGTGCAGGTTCTTCTTGTGGAATAAAAGAACATGAGAGGGTACCCCTGTGTGATATGTACAATGCTATATCATTATACATAAAGGAGCATTCTGTATTTTCCAATTTGTCCCCAAATAATTCTCTAATAATAAATTTAATAATCAGTAAAAATGTGAACTACTTGGATGATTTATGTTCTTACGTGTTTTATACATTTGAAGACATAGTTTTCATTTTATTATTTTTGCAAAAAAAAAAAAAAAAAAAAAATGAAGAATATTTCTCATGTGAAAAAATGAGCAGGTGTTGTATACACATCGATGTAAAGCAGCATTTAAAAATTGAAGACGTTCCATACGATCGCATTGTTCTTTTTTGTAGATATTCTTATACTAATAAAATTTATTTGAGACCAACGAACAGCTCAGATGTGTATGATCTGAATGAATTGTTGAGGAAATATTCACAACGAACTGGAGGGGAAGAAAATCAGTATCTTATTTACAATCTCATTGAGGGAAAATCTGAGGAGGATATCCTCCTATCAATACTTAACAGTAAGAAGAAAATTATTGGATTCGTTTGGCTCAAGAAAAACATAGACATTAATGTCCTTGTGAATTTGTACAACTTGAAGAGTTACAACTACCTGCTGCGACGGGAATTCTTTCAGGACATTGCCCCATCTCTGGTACACATCTTGCACGAAACGCCCCCCTACACACACACACACCTCACTCCGGCTGAAAAAAAAAAAAAAAAAAAAAAAAAGGGGTCACTCTCCTCAACACTAGGAAATTACCCCAATTGAGAAACATTACCCTAACAGGGAGAAAAAGACGTGTAGTCATATGCATAACGTTTTATTACTATTCAAAATGCATATTTTATTTCATCACCTCTTTATCACCATATAGGTTCCTTTCTCCGGAGGGACGAAAAATCTCAACAAAAAAAAAAAAAAATATTTGTTCATACAATTTAAGCAATTTATTTTGAGCCAAATAACGGTTCAGTGCGAAGCGGACATGGAGAAAAAGCACGAAATCAGTGAGGACGTTATTTATGGCTACTTGAAGGAACATTTGATGGAGGACGTGGAAGAGTACGCTGCATATTTTGCCAAGAAGGATTTAGACACGCGTGTGATCCTGCGGAACATTTATACCAAGGTTGTGTCCTGCACATGGGGAGGAAAGAACAGCGGACAAATTATTTCTCCGCGACATGCCTAAAAAATTTTTGCTCTCTCTGCTATATGCCCATTTCCTTAACAAATGCTGCTCAAAAGGGAATGTGTCTCTGATTGACTATCTCCTTTTTTTTCCCCCTATAACACAGCTGCAGTACGACTATGAAAACTGCGCACAGGACGAGGACAAGGGCAAAGTCAACTTTGCACTGATGAACAAGCTGATCAATTTGTGTGCCCAAATAAGTTACTCCGATGTAATACGAAAGAGGAGTTACAAACGGGGGAAAACGTGCAATAACACACGTGGCGAAGCATGCGAAACGAATCTCGTTGTCTCCTTTCCCTTTTGCCGACATCCTCTGCATGTGCAAGTACCATGGGAAGGATGCTCTCTCCACTTCGCTTCTACGTCTACGTCTACTTCTGTACTTCTCCTACGCAGATCGCCAAAGTGAGCGCCAAATTTCAAAGCCATTTCGACAAGGTGGAGATGCTCTACTTCAACTTTAACACAGACAAGACGTACAAAAAGATATACGACAAAGTATGGAGGAAGAAGGCGGGCATAAAGACTGACGAGGGGGGAGAACAAGGTACGGACGCGGTGTGGGGGGGAGGCATCCATACGGGAGAGAACAAAGTGCAACCAGTTTTGGTGTATTTCTCTTCTCATTTGGGGCTTTTCCCCCCTTCTGCTGTCTCCTCACAAACCCAACACAGATGGAAAAAAAATCAACATCATAAAGCTGAACTGCGACAATAGCGGCACGACCAAATCGGGGAAGAGCTCCAAGGAGGTCGTGAACCTGTCCTACTTCGACATATTCCTTCTCCTCCAAAATATCTATCCGGAGATTTTCAAAAAGGTGGGGGAAGCGCATCGCACGCGGGGGTATACGGGGCGTGCATACAACAGGAACACACGGCGTCGCGAGATTAACGCATGACACCTCCCGCCCGAATACTTATAGTAGGTCCTTAACCAATTGTAATATGCCTTTCCGCCCCCATCTCAGAACGAAATCATTTTGCTTTTTCTTTTCCTGGACTTATACGAGTTGTTCACCGTGGAGGAGTCGACCCCATTTGATTGCGTCTCATTCAAGGTGAGTGGTTCACCATGTCTTCTCTTGTCTTCGCGGTTTATGTTGGTACCTCCTCCGAAGTATATGCATCTCGTCGAGGAGATTTACTCCCCCCTTCGCACGTGATCCCCCTTGCAGCTCTACCTGGACGAACTGGTGGACATTAAGAAGAACTACTTTATCTGCAAATACAAGCACATCGACTGGCTGAGCAATTTGAGTGACCAGGACAAGAACGCCTTTTCCTTAAACATGTTCATTTTGAATGAAAAGGTGGGTTAACGAAGGGGTTAGCAGTGTGAGAGACAGCTGCACGAGCACACACACCCCAATGTGTACAGTTGCCCACTGACGTATTTAACTGCCCACTCACTTAACTGCCCATGCGTAGTACAACCACCACTGCAAAGACATACTGCTGAAGATCGAGAAGTACTACGACGAAGTGGACTATGTTGTCGCCACCAACAACGAGCGCGGGAGAATCCCCCTCATCCTGAATTACTTCAATCGCGTGAAGAAGAAAAAAAAGACAAACACTTTGGAGTCGTTGTATGTGCTGAATAAGTACACTCTTTTCCTTCCTCCATGCACCCACTACATGAGGATGAGCGATATAGAGGACGTGCAGAAGCTGCTGGAAGCTGTGGATGAGAAGGAGAAGGAGCCGATTAATACGGTTATTATGTCTTTAAGGGAGTTCCACAGGCGGGGTGTTGTCCAGGGGGAGGAGGCCCCCTCAGGTTAGACCAAGCGTGCTCAAATGTGTCCATGCAGATGGAGCGGCATTTGAACGGCGCGGAACCCGAACGGCGGAAAATATTCGTAACACCCAGCGCCAATTTATCCCCCCATTTTGCTCCTCCCCCATGCAGAGCTCAAGTTCTACCGATCGCAAAACTACTACATCTTCGTCACGAGGTGCGGAGGCAAAGCCATCAACGTGACCGCGGGACGCATCCTCAACAACATCGACTTTTACTATAAGCAGAAAGCATTCGATTTTAAGGACATCATCCTGAGGAACGAGAACCGTGAAGAGAAGCACTTTTTACTCTCCTTCTTTTTGTCCATCATTATTTTCAAATTTTACGACAAGCGTATTGTCCACAACATTTTGGGGTGAGTTGCGGTGGTCGTCCTTGCGTGACGGCGTTTACGTAGCCCCGTTTAGGTGACCCCCAATGCACACGTTGCTCCTCCCCCTCGTCCAACTGCCGCACCTCCCCTTTAGCATGACGAAGGCCTGCTCGTGCCAGATCGCCGTGCGAGACAACACGTACAGCGACGTCTACAAGCACTTCAAGTTTTTGTTTGTGAAGGATAACAGCGTGAGCGTTGTTAAAAAGGAACACCCCAAGGGTGTAGAGGCCAGTCATAACCGTGTGCATAGCCACAGTTCGAAGAAGGAAGTTGAAGAAAAATTTTACCTCGTGATGACGAAACAAATGTGTCTTAAAAAATTTACAAACATTGATCACAACATTGTGTTTTGGGGAATCAACGACGTGTGTCTAAATGTGATATACAAACTGATGACAAACAATGAGTACTTCTTTAACAACTTAATTATAATCAGCTCTTACCGAAATAAATTTCTCGAAGGAGCCACTACTGCTGCTGGAGGGGCAGGGGAGGAGGAGCAAGACGATTATAACTGCAACAGCATAAAAAATTGGAGCTTGGAAAATTTAACCATGTACAGAAAGCTATCAAATTTAATGATCAAGCAAAGGGTCAGAATAATTCATGACAATATTTTTAGCATCGACAGACAAAATAAAAAGATCGAATTGAATAATAAGCAATTTATTTTTTATGACTATCTGTTCATATGTTTTAATAAGGAAGATATTAGCACTTACTCGTTCCAATTGAACAGTTACGAAATGGGGAAAAAAAAGAATTTCAATTTTATTGAAAGGAATAAGAGTTCCGGTTGCCCCAATGAGCGCTTTGACTTTTTGACCAAGGCGAAGGATTACGAGAAGTTCGAGTCGAGTGAATGGCAAGCAAAGGAACGATCCGTGGAGAAAGGTACACCTCGGAGGGGGAAATATCGCCTGAACAGGGTGAGGAAGCAGCATGTGGGTAGTTCAACCTTGCAGGGGGGAGGAAGTGACTTGGGCAAAATGAGTGGCGGAAAAGACGCGGTAAGCAACATGCAACATCCAGGGGAGGGGGACCCCTCTAGCAGCTCCGAGTCTAGCGAGGGAGATGTCACAGGGGTTACGTGTAAAGGGATGCTGCATGGCGGAACCAAGCATGAGAACAGGGGTGAACTCAGCAGGGGAAAAAATGCAGCGGCAAAATCGGCGACAGAAAACGACCAAGAGGAATACCACTCTGACTACTCAACGCTATCGTCCAGTTGTCTCCAAACGAGTGAAACGAGTCAATCGGAGGGGGAAACGAAGGGTGGCAGCGGCGCCCTCAGCATGGTCAACACTAATGATGCTGCTACTGATGAGAAGAGTGGTAACACCACGAAAAGGGGACACCCCATTGACGGCGCGTTACAGAGAGGTAGTTTAAACCGGGGATCCTCTTTAAGCAAAGCTAGGGGGAGTAAGGGAGAATTGTTCAGGGAAGGCGTAACTACTTCTCAACTAGGTGAAGATAAAAAAGGGGGGTTAAATGTGGTTGCCCAATCGGATGAGACCAGAAGGACACAGAGAATGCGGGCTGTGGCACGTCCCTGCGCGGAGAGGAAAAACGTGGAAGGGTTGTTCAGCATCAGCGACCCCTTCTTAGATAAATACCTGGACAAAAACAGCACCTACATGACCGTGGTAAAAAATTGCGTCAGTTACATCGTCATCTACAGTGATAACATGGACATCCTGACGGTCGTGAATTTTTTTTTAAGAAATGGAATAAAGTCATACAAACTTTTAATTATATCACCACACACATGTGCCAAATGTAGTGAAAAAAATTCAAAAAATAATTTAAGGGAAAAAATATCTAAACATAGACTCTATTATGAACACAAAAAACAGCTGAAGGAAAATTATATAATATCTGATGAGCCACTTAAAAAAAATAATTATCACAAGAATTGCGTACCTGATAATGTGAAGCAAGTCTTAAAGAAAGTGTTTGTCCTTTTTCATTTTTTAAAAATACGAATCATCCAGGGAGAAATTATTGCCATTAAAAAGAGCAAGCAGAACCGCCTTAAACATATCGTCGTACGTTTTTGTAAGCATGGGAAGGTTGATCCGACCTTGGTGTCTGCTCAAAAGTTTCTTTTTAAGAACACCGTGTTGATTCCCTGCAGGGTGCTACTCTGCTCCTATGTCTTTAACATCAGCAACCACCTACACTATGTGCTTAACAAGGCCTCCATCGTGTACAATGACCGCATCTGTGTGAATCACAATTTTCAAGTATGTCGCACACGTTATATATATACATATATATATATATATATAACAGACTCCCTCATCCGTGTCTTCCATTTATGTGAAATCCCACATGTCTTTATCATCATCCCTCCCCCGTCCCGTTCCTTCCCCTCCCCAGACGAACGACAAATTCATCTTCAGTGCCGGAGAGCTATGTGCATTTTCGAGTAAATATAGAATAGGCAAGGAGAACATTTTAAACCATGAGAAGTACAATGGCAGCGAAATTGGGAAGCTTGTAAGCAAAAGGTTTTTAAATATTATCATTGAGAATATTAATACGCCTTGCGATTTTTCGGGGTTGAAAAAAAGTGTGAGGGGAATACAGCAAGGGGGAAAAAATTCCCTCAATGGGGAGTCCACAAATGGAGGGAATTTTCCACCTGGTGAAAGAAGCCAAGATGATGACAATGACCAACCTGGGGATGCAGATAATCCTGTTCATCTGTACAGGACGCTGAAGGTTTTCGAGAAGCCTATCATCCACTTCAGTTGCCTCCCCTGCGATTTCTACTTCTACCATTTCCAAGCGCCAACAGGGGACCTCTGCAAGTTCCACGACGCATGCTCCGCGGGGAAAGGCAGCATCAGCAGTGTGGGTCAAGTGAACGCCACCAGCAACAACGTAACTGAGGGGACGAACTTGGGCAATGTCTACAACGAAGCCTTCTTGACGGACACCCTAAAGATATGCGTGCGGAAGGATATGCAGCTAAGCGAGCGCTTTAAAGTGAAGCATTTTGAAGTCGCTAGCAACATCAGCACGGAAGGCTACTACTGCAGGGTTACGACAAATTCGTTGAACCTGATAAACTCGTTCACCTACTTGGGTAGGGCCTCTTCGTGCCCTCGCGTACTGGGCGCCATTGATGTGCGTGTGTAGTGGTGTCACGGGCTGTTCCCTCATCGGCTGCTCCTTCACCGCTATCCCACAGGCCGTCAACGACTCAACTTCCACAACCTACACAAACTGTGTAACATGTCCATCAACTACTTCTACACCATTCTTAAAAACATAAAGAGCAGCCCGCACTACGACATTTTGAGCTTGCTCAGTGAGGAGAGGGAAAAGTCCATTTTTCACTACAAGTAGGGGCGCTACATACGCATCAATTCATCAGTCATTTTGGTCGCACAAAAAAAAGAGGCACCTGGGGAGTATGCTCCCCGCATGCGAACTACGTGCAAAGCAAGATGGCATTACCCCCTCTTCTGTATCTACAATCTCCCACACCCCTGAGCACAGGTTCCAAATGTTTAGAGATAAGCTGAAGACCAAGTTAATGCACCTGCCTTTGCTGAAGGAGTCAATCCACGCACATTTGCAGGTATGGGAGCGGTATTTCGCATAAGGGGCTACGTGCTGGCGCCATATAAAAGCAGTCGCGTTACACATGCCATCGCTATACGAAACCTCTACAACCCCCATGACAGGGCGTTCACGACGCGGAGTCGTTCCGGAAGTACGTGCTTGAGCAGCTGTTCTTAGAAGATGGCCCTATGACGGACATTATCAAGAAGAAAGTAGAGACACACCTGATCGAATACATAAAGGAAAACCACCAATTGCTCAACGGGTACTACTTGCCTGGCTGAAGAGCTTCGCACGGGCTGTGCGGTGTTTTTTTTTTTTTTTTCTGTGCGGGTGCCTCGGCTTCCATTGGACATTCCGCTTCCAAATTGTACATAGACGCGTTCACAAAATGTCAGTATGCCCACGAACGCGCGAAGAGGTCCTATCAGGAGGGGATGCTTACAAAAGATTAGTAGCGTCGTCCCCTCCTCCTCCACCTCAACGAACGTTGCTCCCTTAGCACGAAAAAGTAACCCGCCTTAAAACTTGAATTGAAACATGGGTAAGTTTGGTTTAGTTTTGAGTGAGAAAAAGGGTCAGGAAAGAGGGGAGGGCGATCTGCCAACGTGGCCACCTGCCAACCAGGCGACGTGGGTACCGTGCAAGACATGTGGGAGGTACAGACGGTAGGGAAATGCACGCATGAACGGTAGTGTGGCTCATCTATGTGCCGAAGGTTCAGGAGCACACCAAGGCAGACACAATATTAGCACTCGCTAAAGCCATCTCTGTCGTTGTTTCTGTCGTTTTCGTAGTAAGCTCTGCCTCTGCATGAACGCTGTCCTCACATCTACTTATCTGCTATGTAGAGCTACCCCGTCCGCGCTACCGCCATTCGCAGTACCTCTATATAATAGCACCCACGCGCGTGTTATTACGAAGGCCTTGTACCCGCTTCACCTCAGGACACCTGCTTGGCCATCTCAACGGCCTTGGACTTGACTTCCTCCAGGTCGCCCACCATGTAGAAGGCCATCTCTGGCAGATCGTCACAGTTGCCCTTGAGTAACTCTGAAAATCCCTTGATGGTATCTTCCAACTCGACAAACCTACCCGGTTTACCAGTAAACACTTCAGCCACGGCAAATGGTTGCGAGAGAAATCTTTGTACCTTCCTTGCCCTGGCGACGGTTAGTTTATCCTGTTCAGACAGTTCGTCTATTCCCAATATAGCGATAATATCTTGTAGTGATTTATAATCCTGTAAGATCTGCTGTACATTTCTGGCCACTTCGTACTGTTCTGCACCCACAATATCTGGCGTTAACATACGGGAGGTTGAATCCAATGGGTCAACAGCAGGATAAATACCTAACTCAGCTATAGATCTTGACAGCACCGTGGTTGCATCAAGATGAGAAAAGGTGGTTGCAGGTGCAGGGTCTGTCAGATCATCTGCAGGTACATAAACAGCTTGAACAGATGTGATGGATCCATTTTTCGTTGTGGTAATTCTCTCCTGTAGAGCTCCTAAGTCAGTAGATAAAGTAGGTTGGTATCCGACTGCGGAAGGTATACGACCTAACAAAGCGGACACTTCAGATCCTGCTTGAGTAAACCTATATATATTATCCACAAAAAGTAACACATCCTGATTTTCTTCATCTCTAAAATATTCTGCTACGGTTAAACCAGTTAGGGCAACTCTTGCACGAGCTCCTGGGGGTTCATTCATCTGTCCATATACCAGAGCAGCTTTTGACCCATTAAAATCATATTCTCCATTTCCGATTTTTTTTTTCTTAATCACTCCAGTAGTTATCATTTCATGATACAAATCATTTCCTTCTCTTGTCCTCTCCCCCACTCCAGCAAAGACAGAATACCCTCCATGTTTCTTAGCTACGTTATTAATTAATTCCATAATGAGTACCGTTTTCCCCACCCCTGCACCACCAAACAAACCTATTTTACCTCCCTTAGCGTATGGTGCAATTAGATCGACTACCTTAATGCCTGTGATTAGAAGAGCAGGTTCTGTACTCTGGTCTGTGAATAAAGGTGGGTCCCTATGTATAGGTAATGTTTTGGCTGATTTTATATTTCCGCATTCATCAATGGGTTCCCCAATGACATTCATAATCCTTCCAAGCGTTTCTTTTCCTACAGGTACTGATATTGGTTTACCACTATCTAATACCTTTTGTCCTCTAACCAGGCCATCGGTTGCATCCATGGCGATGGTCCTCACCACTTTATTGCCCAGATGCTGTGCAACTTCTAAAATTATTTTTTTATCATCCAGTTCTGCTTCTAGTGCGTTTAGAATGGACGGGGGGGTGTCCTCAAATTCGACATCCACCACGGCTCCTATGACTTGTGATATTTTTCCCATCTTCATGCTACTCCCCTTATTGTCTCTTTTATTTGCAGCAGTTGCATCTCCTGGTCCTTTGGTCCCAGTGGCAGGATTCTTTTTCAAGTTGGCGCTTTCGCTGGTTGAGAAATGTCTACAGAGGGGTGTGCCGTTCACTGCGCATTCCGTTTTGCTGCTCACTTTTCCGCCCATTTTATTACCCCAAAATTGGCTACCCAATTTGGCGTACCGCCTGAGCGGCGTGTTCCGCATCCACCTGAACCGCTGCATTTTGTGGAGTTACTTCAACGGGCAGATGATATATATAGCTTCTTCAATGGTGTGTGCTGATGAACTTTCAGTTTAAATTTCGTTCTACGGTGAGTCACGCTTGGCCCAGCTCCACTTTTTTCTCCTTCTTTTTCCAGCTTCTTTCACAACACCTCTCTCTGTCGTTTCGCCGCTCACCCCCCAGGCAGTTTCTCAACACGTTGTAAATCCAACAGGGGAATTATGCCCGTAACCCAATTCGCAAAAAAAAAATTAAAAAAAGGGGAAAAAATGTTTTTCACGCGCTTTGTGTGATATGTCCCAGGGCTTCCACTACCACATATTATGCGTGAGTATTCACAGTGAATGGGGTCGCGAATGAGTGAAGTCAATACACACATTCGCTTATCATGCCATCAGTAGCACTACGCATGGCCCTTTTTTTTTTTTTTTTTTTTTTTTCTCACAAATGGAGTTTACATAAAAGGTATGCTTGGTTGATTAATTCCGTTCTGGTTCCTCCTCCACGGATGCTTTTTTATCGTTGGAAGAAAAAAAAAAATTCCAATGTGGTGAACGTGAGAGAATCTTCTTGCGACGTCAATTTATGATACCCCCTTCGCATGACAATCTGCACTCCCTGTTCGTGTGAGCCCTCTTTTTTAAAATTGCATCCCTTCCATATGCTTCTCCCATTTCCTACCGGTTCCGACATTAATTTTTTTTTTTTCACTCCAAATGGCAAAAACAAAAAACAATTAATGGGGTTGCTGATTTCGCCTGAATGTGGGGGTCGGGTCAACGCATAATACACGTATGCCAGTGCGCTAGCGCGACACACACGTGAGCATACACGAGCGTTGGTGCACCCCTAGGGGTTTTCACACGTGGATCTAAACGCGCAGCAGCAGCAGCACAGCAGCCGCCGCCGTCAGAGAACATATTGCACAATTGGCAAATGCGCCAGTAAAGGGTAACAACAGCTTTCCTTTTTTTGCACCTGACCCATTGTGTTGCTTTTTCCCCCCGCGGAAGCGATGGGCTGCAAAATAACCGGCGCAGCAGGCGCTCGGCTTACACTGAAGCGGTTAAGCAAATTGTGAACCGCGGGTGTGGCTAAGAGGACACGGCTTCACACCACGTGGGAGTGTGTTGTAATGAAAAGGGACCAAACGGGCTCGCCATTTTCCGGGAGAGAGACTCCAACGGAGCTTTTCCCACCTGTGCGACATTTACACTTTTGATTCATGTTGTTTCAGAGTGGAACGTCCCTTTGCGCGTTCGAGGTCTATCCCGCGGTGGGGGTAGTTCAAGGATGGAAAGGAAACATAATAAAATGAAAAAAAAAAAAATAATAATAAATAAATGAAAAGCAGACTAAGAAACAGCCACATCCGCGCCCGCTGGGGTATACGGGATGGAGTGGGCTCGCCGTTTGAGGGGCCCTAATAAAGAGCACCACACACACTCCCCCTGTTGCCCAATCAGGGGAAGGGCAAGGCGCCGGTCCAGGTGACAACTTGCTGCTTCAACGTTTGCAGTTCAGCACAATTAGGCAAGCCTTTTTTAAAATCAACGAGTTTTTTTCCATACTGTTCCTGCAACTGCACGGTTATTTTAATAGCCCGTTCCAAAATGTCTGCGATGAATTCCATGTCCTTTTCCTTTGCGCCTCTGGTGGTCATGGCAGGAGTACCAATACGCACCCCGCTGGGGGATACGCAGTCGACGTCAGAGGGAATGGTGTTTTTATTTAATGCCACATTAATCGCGTTACACGTTTCTTGTAGTTTAGATCCTGTGATCCCAAATTTCCTCAAATCTACAACAATGAGATGATTATCTGTTCCATTTGTCACCAAGTCAATATTTTTATTTATTAATGCTTTAGCTAATGCTTTACTGTTTAGTAGAACCTGTTGTGTGTACTCCTTAAAATAAGGTGATTTAACTTCCTTCAATTGACATGCCACAGCTGCAATTTTGTTGTTGTGGGGTCCCCCCTGGAAGCTTGGAAACACAGCACTGTTTATCTTTTGATCGATCCCAGGATTTCTTTTCTTATTAAAAAACACCAATGCACTTCTGGGTCCTCTTAATATTTTATGGGTCGTTGTGGTAACTACATCAGCATACAAAAATGCATTGTTCATAATTCCACATGCGACAAAACTTGAAATGTGTGAAATGTCTGCAAATAAATATGCACCTACTTCATCACAGATTTGTCTGAACTTTTCATATTCTATATCCCTAGGGTAGCTAGTGTACCCACAGATTATAACTTGGGGTTTGAAGGACAAAGCCATTTCTCTTACTGCATCTAAGTCAACATATCCTTTTTCATTACATTTGTAAAGTTTTGATTCAAACATATCGGAGGTGATGGAAACTTTTTTTTTTTCATCAAAGAACCCATGTGTTAAGTGCCCTCCTGAGCATAAGTGCATGCCCATTATTTTTCCCTTTACACCTACCAATGCGTAGAGGGCTTGGACGTTCGCTGCAGATCCGGAAAGAGGTTGCACATTCACACCCCATTCTTCTTCACTTACGTTGAAGGCTTCCAGAGCCCTCTTCTGGCAAAGCTCCTCGATTTTGTCAATGTAGTCATTCCCTCCGTAGTACCTCTTCTTGGGGTAACCCTCTGAGTATTTATTACTCACTCGATGCCCCAGACATTCACGCACTGCGATGTTTGTTAGATTCTACGGTGATGCAGTGGTGGAGAAGTGATGTGTGAAGAAAAAAAAAAAAAATTATGTTTCAACTCAACGACACAGCGCGTCTTATATGGGCTATCCCGCTTCTAACTCTTACGCGGAAGACTTACCTCAGAAGCAATCAAATTTATGGTCTCCTTTTGTCTCTTCTCTTCGTCTGCCAAAATGTCGTACAGGTCCTTGTCGACTTGATCCAGCGGCTTGTTGTTGAACTGAGAGGAGGGAGAGTTCGTTTCTGTGTGTGTCGGGCCACCACGGAGAAGAGAACAAGAAGTAAAAAGCATAAAAAGAAAGGAAAGCAAACAAGGGGAGAACATTTTTTTTGGGGGGGAGGTTTATTACCATTTTGCTCATAAGTGGGAAAATTAAAAGATGGGCTTAACTTTTGTTTGTTGGGATGGGGGGAGAGTCACTATTGTTGGGTGATATAAATCACTGGTATTTATATGTGCGTTTTTTTTTTTTTTTTCCCGTAGTGGGTTTTAGAGTTGTCATAAAGAATGAATGAACACACAAAGGTTGGTGAGTGCGATTGCACATTATCATTTCTCAGATTGTACCCCGGGTCAGTAAAAAAAAAAAAAAAAAAAAAAAAAGAGGTAACTAAAGGGTGGCAAAATATTCTTGACGCCAAGTACAAAAATTGCTTTTCCAAGTGTGCGCATTGGGGAGCTAACACAATTTGAAGTCCTGCCCCGCAAACGTGTGCATAAGTCAAGCAGCACCAGTGGAGAGAGAAAGAAATGGCTACCTCTCTCCACAGCTTGTATGTATTCCCTTCATTACTCTTCCGATTTGAGCCCCTTACGTGGTGAGCTACAGATGTATGTGTGCTTAAGGAAGTGGCGCTGCATACTCTCCCCATGATACAATTCGGGGGATGCGATTGCTCCTTCGAGTTGGAAGTGGGCTTTTCGCGGGCACCCCCACGCCATCCCCTATTAGTGTGTTCCGATTGCGTGGGTCATGGTGATGTGATGAGATGAGCTTATTGTGCGCGCATTGCAGTTATCTCCCTGGGCGTTTATATATATAAAAAAAAAAGGCGCTCTCCCCTTTGGCTTCCCACATGGAGGTGCCAAAAAGGAATTACGCAGCCCCCTTCACTTTCCCTCTTTTGGTGTACTGTGGGTTCAGTTTTGATTGGCAAATGGATGGGGAGAGGGGCCCAGTTCTCCCGGACGGGTACAGCAGTTTTGTGACATAAAAAAAGGGAACACACGTTTCGAGGTGTAGAAGTACGTCTAAACGTACGCGTGGGCGAACGCGCCCGTGCAGCTATGCGCACTGTCGAGGCACCCCGGGGGAAGGACGCAAAAATTGAACAAGAAAATTATATGCACATAGGGGGGAGGGGAGGAAGGGGCCAACGCTGCCTTTGTGCAACAAAAAAAGGGGGAAGTAAAAATGGGAGCAAGAAAAAACACGCATGGGGAGGTTACTACGAAATACAAACAATGGTAGGAAAATACGGACAGGTGCCATTTCGTGCATGCTTATATGTCGTGTGGCTCCCCCCCCTAGGTGGTGTTCCGCGGGGGAGACTTGGGGCGCAGGTTCTCAATCTCGTTGGTGGTGCCCATGTACTTGCCACCCACATAGGAAGTGGCCTCGGGCCAAGCGATGTCCCCCTCGAACCACCCAGTGTACTCTTCCTTATTGAACAAAGTGGAGTCCAAATTTTTCCCCAAAGTCAGCCAGCCATTGCGGATATTCCTGTTAGTACCAAACAGCTCAATCTTCCTCCTGCCGAGACAAAATTTTTCAATTATTTTATACAGTTCCTCCGGCTTGTTGTTATTGTAAATATTTTCATCTGTTTCCTCTGCTATAATAACATCAGTGTCGAGATTGGCATGAATAAAATGAATATCGAGGGAACGTCTAACGGCTCCCTTAATACCAACCAAGCAATGTTCAGTAGTCCTCTGCAGGTATGAATTTTCATTATTTATTTCGTTGAGGTATTTTATTTTTTTGCTGGTTTCCTTAATATTAGTTTTCAACCAACAGATATCTTCACATCTACGGTAACCCCATTTGCTTAACAGAGTTCGAGCATCCTCTAGGTGGGTAATTCCACACCAAATAAAAAGAAACGAAGGGACATCAGCTATTTTTTCAATTTCTAAACTAGCCAAATCCTCCAGGGACCAAAACTTATCCTTCTCGTGATTAATGTCTCCATTCAAATCATAGTTTTCTATATGCATGCTGTTTAGTAAACCTAGGTTGTGAATTTTTCTGTTGTAATATTCTTTCCATGGGGGGTCGATAAGGATAATATCAAATTTGGTACCCAAGGTACCCAAGTCAAATGTCCTCAAGTCACACTTTATGTATCTTGCTGGGGTAGACCTCTTCTTTATAATTACATTTTTTAATTCTAGTAGCTGCTTCAGCTTAGGGTATTTATCAAATCGCTTATTTTCATCACTGTCTCTAATAAAATTTTGTGGCCTTTCTCCTGTGTTTATAAAATTCTGGTTGTAATCATTTTGGAGTCGTTCCCTTCCGTCTACATTTATGTTGTATGTCACAGCACTGCCCTTTGCTTCATTCTTGTGGTCCCCTTTTGTGGGTCCTCTTTTGCCCAGTTCTCCAGGGCAGTACCCGTCCCCCTGGAACATATGGCCACCACCGCTCATATGGTACGGCGTAGGTATGGGCCTACCATACGGGGGAGGAGGACCTCTAAAATTGCCTACAAAAATTCCATCGTCTTGTTTTACATTTGTGGCGAAATTGTCCACGCTGCTTAATCCAGGTGTCATGTCAAACATCATGGGGTTGTTATTGTCGGTGCCATGTGGGGGGTGCATCATCTGATTTGTTCCCTGCATGTGAAAGCTGTTTCCTCCTACGGCGATGCTATTTGGGCCCGTTGGGCAGGGGGGGAAACTGTTCATTCTCACACTTGGGGGGGGCATCGGCTGGGGAGGGTTCATCCCCATGTGGTACTTGTTTCCCCCTGGGTTGACATACATGTTGGTGTTCTTGTTTTTTAAATTGTTATGGGAGGGAAAGATTCCTGGTCCCCCCTCTTTCATCACGCCGCTGCTGTCTGGGGGTGCGACTGGAGGGGGGACAGGCGGCGCGATGGGAGGTGCCATTGGCGGTGGAGCCGGTGGTGCGGCTGGCGGTGGGATGGGCGGCGCGCACGGACCGGTGCTGCCACCCTTGCTTGGCGGAGGGGGACTTATAGCGTTGCTGTTCGGGTAACTCGGGATGGGCGGCACATTGGCAGGGTTGAAGTTTTTGTTCATGTACGGGATGCCACCCGGGGGGGGAATCCCACTCGGTGGAGGTACGCCACTTGGGGGGCTTGGAAAATTGCCACCGCTGCTGCCGTAGTTCACGCCCCCCTTGGGAAAATTCTTTTTGCCGCTATAAGGATGATGGTACTGTGGCGAGTTGCTACTTGATTGTTTGCTAAACGGGGGGGCGCTTTTTAAAGTTGGGTTCAAATTGGAGTTCGCCCCCCCTCCAGCTCCAACTCCTCCCTTGTTGTTATTAGCTCTTCCGTTGAGGAAATTTCCCTGGTTGTTCATTGGCTTGCTATAAAATGGATAAGCGTTACGAACTACTGTATGGGTGCGGGTGTAAAAATGGTGTTCCTTCCCTCGACGTACTGACTTTCACTTGTCGGTAGGTGAACCCAATCGCAGCTATAACGATGATCTGCTACATGGGGGAACTTTAATTTCGAATGTTACATTAGCTAGGTGGGGAAAAAAAATACTTCCAACACGTTGTAAAAAGCAAGTACAAATTGGGAGGAAGGAAGAAGACTCGTCCTTGCCTAACTGACAGGGGGGAAGGAAAATACCTGCCAACAGTTAAACGGAAAAAAACACAAATTCGTCTTGGCCTTTTTCCTTTTTATATTCACCTTCCTATTTTTCTCCTCTTATCTTTGCTTAACAGTTTGTGATATTTTTTTTTTTTTTTTTTTTGGGCGCTTTACGGAGGGAGCGAACTTGCCGTTTTTTCCGCCCGTACACTTTGGCGCAAAAAAAAAAAAAAAAATGAACAGATGGATGGAGGCAAGAATGAAGAAACGAAATAACCTACCCCGTTGTAGTGAGAAAAAAAAAAAAAAAAAAGCAGAAAAGCAGAATAGTGGGGATGCTTCACAAAAGGATGAGTTTTGTCCCATGGGATACAATGTTTCCTCCGAGAAGAGCCAACGACATAAGTGATTGCTTCCACTTTGCAACACGTGGCAATCACCCACAATGAGAATATCGCTGCTGTGTGGATAGGATGCAGCAATCATTATTCACACCTGTGCCAGTGTAAAAAAAAAAAAAAAAATGACTAGCTATATGGGTAGTTCTTCTTCAAGTGCCTACACAGGTGTAGCAACAACGGGTGGGACAGGAGAAAACATAAATTGTTCAATTTTTTTCACCTCATATCTGTGAGTATTGCAAGAGGGACATTGACTCGTTACAAGTGGGGAGTCGTCCTGTCCATGTAATCTCCCTGTGTATGTTTGTTGTCTTTTATAAGTGTGAGGGGGGCAGAGGCTGTATATAGCACTCGCTCGAGATAATGCCCATGGCTTAGTGAAGCTCTGCACCGATGAGAGGCCAGCCGTTGTGCTACTCCCCAAGCGAGCAAGCAAAAATGGGATAAACACACATATACCCATTATGCAGTTGTATCGTTGTAAGTGGCCTGATTTTGCAAGCCCAGTGGGGATGCCCCCCTAAAGAGTGAACGGCGTATACGAACACAGAATAAGCTCAGCAAGACAGTAACGCAGATATACACTGTGGAGTGAACGTGAAAAAACGCTGCGTGTTGGCGGAACCGCTTCGTTCGCACCATGTTGGGGAGAGTGCTAGGCCTGAAGGCCACCCAGCGCGCGGCGCGCACGCGCCGCTTTTTCTCGCACGAGTTGCTAAATCTGGGTATCCTTGCGCACATCGACGCGGGCAAGACGACCATTTCAGAGGACATCCTGTACAATGCCAACGAAATAAAAGTGAAGGGGAGTATCCATGACCAGAACACACAGCTGGACTTTTTAAAACAAGAAAGAGAAAGGGGAATAACAATCAAGACAGCCTACTCATGTTTCAAATGGAACAATGTAAAAGTAAACCTAATAGATACCCCAGGACATGTGGACTTCAGCAACGAAACTTTCCTCTCATTATGTGTGTCAGACAAGTGTGTCATCGTGGTGGATGCAAAGGAGGGAATTCAAATTCAAACTTTCCATCTCTTCCACTACATAAAGGAAAATTTACCCATTTTTTTTTTTTTAAACAAAATGGACATACACGAAACGGACCTTGATTACAACCTTGAGAATCTTAAAAATAATTTGAGTCGAAAAAGTGTCCTTGTAACTTACCCTTTGTATGAAAATAAGGCCTTGAAGTTTATTTTGGACTTGCCCTCCATGTGTCTTTATTGGTACCCAAAGAGGAAGTATGGGCAGAAGTTTACTTGTAACAGAATGGACCTCTCCTCCGTTTTGCAGCACGTGGACTGTAAAATGGTGAGGAGCCATTTTGCTAACATAGGGATGGTGGGTGAAGCGGCCTCGACTTCTGCGGCGACCTCAACTTCCTCCGCGGCTACCTCGACTGCTCCTGAGGCGATCACCCCGGAGCGCCTCCTAAGAGTACTGTCCAGGGATACCATCCACCACGTGTTACAGAAAAGGGAGGAGCTCGTAGAGGCTCTCTGCGATTTGGAACCCGACCTGGAACGCAAGTACGTAAACAATGTTAGAATAGAATACAGTGAGGTGAGAAAGTGCTTAGCCAAGTGGATAAAACTGAAGGAAATTTTTCCCGTGTTGGCCGGCAGTGCGCTGAATTCGTTTGGTGTTCACCTCCTTCTCGATTATGTCACAAGTGGTGGTGTCGCGGTGGGCGATGACCACCACTCCGATAGGGAGGTCTCCTCATGTAAAGTAAGAGCACCACAGCTCGGCCCCAAAATGAATGATGTGCAGGGTAACTCCCCAGTGGGGTCATCCCCAATGGGTGTAAGTCAGCCCATCCGTGCAGGGCACATAAATAGAGTGGCCAGCCCCCCTCGTCCAGCTACCCCCTTGCATCACAACACAAACATTACCGTTGGACTTCACAACCAAGTTAAAAAAAGGTACACATATTTACAGCGCTACAAAACTGTCCTGTTCATATTCAAGCTTGTGAGCGAAAAAAATGGACACAACACATTTTGTAAAATTCTCAAGGGAGAGCTAGTTAAAAATGCCACGCTTGTAAACCTGCGAAATGGAGGAACGGAAGTGGTGAAGGGACTTTACAAAGTCAAAGCCGATAGGTATGTTATGATTAATACGTTGAGTGCGAATGATATAGGAATGGTTCGTGGACTCGAACATGTCCTTGTGTGTGATTTTATGTGTGAGTTGGAGGAACCACCTTGTAACATGGATTGTACAGGTGTAGTGGGGGCAGAGCGCCGAGTGAGCAGCACTACGTTGCGCGGCAGGAATGATGGTGCAGGTGACCAGAAAAGGAAAAAAAAAAGCGAGACGACCATGCAGGGAAGCCACTTTCAGCAGCGAAGCCACCTTCAGCAGGAGAACTCGCTCCAGGACATCTACAAACATATGAAACACGAAATTGAAAGCAAAGAATTGTGGTTCTTCCTCAAGAATTATAAAAAACGAATAAGCAAAAATGTCATTGTGTGTACATGCGCTATAGAGCCAAAGGATTGTAAAAAGGAAAGCGAACTTAAGCAGGTGCTGCGGAACATCTGCTTAGAAGATAACAGCATCGTCGTTTACACAGACCCCAATAGAAAACTCGTCATTGGATCCATAGGTATATTAAACATTGAAGTCACCCTGGACAAAATAAAAAGTGATTACAACATTGATATTAGGACTGATGAGGTGGAGGTAGTGGAGAAGGAGTATCTTACGGGGCACTACGAGCAGACCATAACAAAAGAGATGAAGGTGAACTCCAACCTCTCGCACATAACGATCGGCTTGACCATTCGCGAGAAGGAGTTCGTGGATGTTTCGAGGTTCATCCAAAATGCGCTCAGGTATGAGAGCGTGTCCAAGTTGCTGGGGGCGACAAGGATGAAGACAGGGAAGGAAGCCATAACTGATCAAACGGTAACTGAGGAAGCATCGTGTGAGGAGCAAACAATCACCATGATGCAGTCGAATGGTTCCTTATCGACCCCAATGAGCAGACACGACTCTGTTTTTTGTGCCCCACCCGAAAGAGGGGGGGGTCGGCCCACGAATCAACCCAACTGCAGCATTGAGGTGGAGCTTAACAACGCAGAAGCGGGGCTATCTGGTGCTGTGGGGTGGGGAAAGCGCACAACCGAAATTAGTATTAACGCGAACTGTGAGGAGGGGGGTCGAATGAATGGCTCACATGATTGGGCAAGTGGGTCGACAAATGATTCTCCCCCACACGCGGAGCACCCGCAGGAAGGTGTTGAGGAAGGCGTGGAGGAAGACGTGGACGAGTACCTCCTCAACTTCAATTACGAGGACCTGTTCCAAAGCAGCGTTCGCGTCCATAAAGACGTGCACCTGTACATCGCGGAGCTGCAGAGGAGAGAGAAAAAAAAAAAAAACTTTTACGAAGAAATTTTACAGAGCTGTATTGTCACCCTGAAGAACTGCCTAACCAGTGGCTTCCAAACAAGCGGAAGCATCATTAGCACGGAGGTAGAAATTACAAAGTTGGACATATCGGATGACACCACTGTGGCGGTGGCCAAGTATGCATGTAATGACTTGTACTATAGAATGATTAAGCGAGCCAACGTGTGCATAGCGAAGCCCATATCTCTTCTGCAGATTCAGACCGAGGAATCCTTCGTGGGAACCATCGTGAAGGACCTAATTCAGCAAAGAAGTGGAACCATTGTTCAGATCACAAAGAATAATGACTCCCGCCATTTTAAGAGCATGAAGATTATTGCAATCGCTCCGGTTAAAAATACACATAACTACGCCTCCATTTTGAGGTCCATTTCGAGTGGCCACGCCCACTGTTTGATGACTTTTTGCGGCTACAGCAAGGAGGGGTAGCCGCGGGCCGAATGGAAAACAGATGATAAGCCGATGTGGACAATCATCCCTTCGTAAATTCGCCACTTGAGTGGTCGCCTATTATTCGTTTGTTAAGTTTTTTTTTTTTTTTTTTGGTGGGTGACCCCTCGGGGAAGGCATGCCATCTGCCCTACCCCCCCCAACTAGTGAACATGGGAAGTCAGGTGCTCGCTGACCGAGCCGCTGTCTTTCTTCTACATTTGGCACATCTTAATTGAGTTAATTGTTATCCCCCTCCCCCTGGAGAGGGGGTAGATATGTTTATATACATACAAACACGCACATGTGCACATATGCGCATGGGGTTAAATTGGTTAAAAGGAACGCTAAACACGTTGGGCGTTAACATGGTGTAATTAAAAATGGGGACAAATGCTATCAAAGCAAAAGCTCTGCTTTGAAAAAAAAAAAAATAAATAAAAATGAAACAATATGATATGATAATACGATAAAATGGTGAATGGGTGGGTAGACGGATGACCTGAAAAACGCTTCCGTTTTTTTTTTTTCTTCTTGCTCTTCTGCGTATATCCGCTGCGCCTTCAGACGCGTCCCCAAGTTTTTCACGTGATCCCAATTGGCCTTCTCCCGCGCTGGGGGCTCGTGCCCACAGAATATTATAGCCGGGAGTGGGCGGAGCTTTGTTTTTTTTTTTTTTTGAGCCCCCCCTTTTCTAGGCACTCAGGTTAACCTTCTCAGTCATCTCCTGCGTGTGCAAGGACTGGTTAAAATTAACCCACAAATTGGGGAAGCTAGCCTGCATTTTCTTTTTGTACTTCTTCTTTAAATTGACGCCCTGCTGATAATAAGTTTTCTCCATTGTGTAACTGGATGAGCATATTTTACCTGACCCGTTCAGGTAATTTTCTTTGCATAATTGTTGAACGAAATCAATTTCCTCATTAAATATTTTTTCAAACAAAATATCGTTGGCAGTTTGGAGTTCTGAATTTTTGGACAAAATTAATTCTTTATAAATATCAAATGTATCTTCGTGGAGATAATTTTTTTTGTTTTTCTTTGCGTCTATGTTTTGCTCCTTTTTAATGATGAACTCCATAACTCCTTTGTGTGATTTGAGGGAAATGTGCTCGTCACTTGTGTACATAAGGTAGTCATTTTTGCGCCTTCCGTTTCCTTCTATCATATACACCGCGTCGCTATCTGCGTAACTGCTTTGTACGTTGCTTCGAACGTTGCTGCGAACGCTGCTTTGAATTGCCTTCCCCTTAGCCACACACAGATTTTTTAAAAATATTTCCATGTCGTCGAACAGGGCATTTTTCTCCATGGGGTCTTCCCCCCCTGAACTCATACGCTGATCCGCTTGCCCCATGTCGCTCTTCCCACTCGTTTCACGAACAGAACCGTTTTTGTTTCTTCTGCTCTTGGACGTCATCCTCTGCATCATCATTTCTCTAATAATGCTCGTAATATCTCCTTCCATTTCTTTCTGGTTAAGCTTCCTCTTGTTGAGAGTATCTTTTTTCTTTTTCTCTTTTGTACCGGGTACGACGTGGTTCTTCGCGTCCATCCCCTTTTGTGTCTTTTCGACTGATGGTCTTTCCCCCTCTGTCTTGGCAGCCGGTACTACTTTCTCTGCATCTCCCATTTGTGCATAATCACCCTGTCTTTCATCTTCCTCTCCGTTAGGAAGATGTTCCTGTGTGTTCTCATTCCAAGCATGGGCAGTACTACCACCACTTGTATGTTGGTTAGTCGTTTCCACTTTCGCTGCATTTTCGTTGATAAAGCTATTCATCGCATTGTGGAGGTCATCAAAATGGAGAATCTCCTTGGTGGCGGCTCTTCTCCTTTCAATATAATCTTCAATTATTGCTTGGAGGGGCACATCTGGGTTGCTGTTTTGAATACTTAAAACTTCCTGTGCGTGCTTTTTCATTTGTTCTTCCTGACTAATATTATTATCCTGTGCGCCTTTTTTGTCTCGCTTTTCTCGTGTGCGAGAGGGGCTCACCGTGTCACTCGAAGCAGCGATAGCAGTCGCTGTGGCGTCATCTCCGAGTGCGTCACCTACAATGTCGACTACTCCAATGGGTGTGTCCTCCTTATCAGCTTGGCAGGTCGGTCCACCACCACCCCTGTCCTTCTTGGCCCCCTCTTCCACAACATCCTTCTTCTCCTTTGCACCGACACCTACATCAGTTTTTACCTTTTCGGTGTCCCTCTTTAGAGAGGATTGTTCATTCTTCTTCTTGTCTCCCTTCTCTTTCATTTTATCCTCTTTGATGTTTGTTTCTTCCTGTTCCGCTTCATAACCTTTCACCTTCTTCTGTTTTGAAAGTGTTCCCCCTTCCGCGCTGGGGTCTTCTTTCGGCTGGGTGGTGCTTCCCACCGGTACATCCTCCGTTGCTTCCGCCACAGGGGGCGTAGAAACAGTGGTAGAAGCCTTCTTGTTTGCCTTTTGTCCTGCGCTTGGGGATGTCTTTGCCTTTGCCTCGTCAGTCTTTCCTTTTTTACTTCCATCAAACGTATAATTAAAGAAGCTTCCAATTTTTAAAGCAATTTTGGCATACTTGTTTTTTTTCTCCTCTTGTGGCTGCTCGACGGTTTGCTTCTTCTCCTTGGTGCCTTCGGCCGCTTGGTCTTCCACTTGAGCTGGCTTATTCTCCACGTTTGCACTCACGCTGCTGCTGACGGTGGTGACGTTGGCGACGTTGGCGATGTTGGTGATATTGGCGGCACTGCTACCACTATTGGGGTGCTTCTTCTTTTGTTTCTTCGCATCCTTGTCGTCTTCTCTTAGAGGAGGGAAGTCCACCTCGGAGGGTTGCTCATTCTGCACAGCGTCCGGAGCCGATTGGCCACCCTTGCCACTGGTCTTTTGATCTTCCGCAGGGAGTTCTTCCGTGGGGGCTTTTCCCGTTTTGGCTCCACCAGTTTTGGCCTCTGCCACTTTGACTTTTGCCATTTTCTCTTCGCCCGCCTTCGCTTCGCTCACCTTTGCCTCGCTCAATTTTGCCTCCCCCTCCTTTGCTTCGCTCACCTTTGCTTCTCCCACCTTTGCCTCTTCCGCCTTTTTCTTCTCGTTGGCCTTTTTCTTTTCTGCCTTCTTTTTCATCTTCTTCTTTTTGTCCTTGTCAAAGTGGACGTCCGTTATGAGCGGGTAGTTCTCCGACATGCCGTCGGCGTAGTAGGGGTCTTCGTCTAGTTCGAGGCTGTTGTTCTTGCTGGCGTTGTCATGCGTAGATGCGCCGTTATTGTGGAGGGAGTCTTTATAATTCTTCTCCTTATGCGTGGCACTCGCGCTTGCACTGGCATTTGCAATGGCAGTGGAAGTGGCAGTGGCGCCGTGGTCTTCCTTACCCCGATGGGTGATTGGTATATTTTCCTCACTCTTCTGCTTTTTCTTCTTCTTCTTGCTTTTCGTTTGCGCATTATTCTTTTCTTCGTCCCCCTCCTGCAAGGAAGTCATCGCTATTCCAGCATTCTTTATGAGGTTAGCGAAATTTCCCTCGGAGCTCCACTTGCTTTTCTCCTCACCGGCGTGATGGTTATCTTTGTTGGCCCCCTTGCTGGTCAGGGCATCCTTCATCTTGGTGTCCTTTTTCATGTCCTCCGTCCCCTTCTCCCCGGACCTTCCTAACCCTTTACCTGCTATCTCCAAACTTTTTGCCTTCCCATCAGAGAGCAATGATGCCATGGACGAGTGTTGCTTCTTCGAGTGGGTACCTTCATCCATGGTGTCACTCCTTTTGTTTGGGTCCGCTAAGTCCTTTTCATTGGTGCTGGACATTGCCGCAGCAAAGGAGAGCATTGCAGGGGGACAACTTGCGGTAGCACCTCCTCCCGATGTTGCCACTCCCCCCACCATTCCGTCCTCCCCTTTTCTACCCGACTTTACTACCACCCCCCCGGACGCGTCATGCGAGTTGTTATTCTGCTCACTTTTCTTGTCCGGGTGTTTTTTAAAATAAAAATATAGTAGGTCATGGTAAATGTGTTTTGGCCCATGAATATCATCTTTGGAAAAACTGTCAATGACGTTACCCAATTCGTGCAGGTAAAAACAATCCTCATTTGTACAAATGCTATTCTTCAAATATGCAGCACAGTATTTGGTGGTCCCAAATGATGCCTTCAAAATTTTATTATCCAACACCATGCCGTCAATAAAATAAATCGCATTAATGGCTTCCTTTTCATTACTGTATGTGATGTAGGCACTGAATGATGGGCCATTGTAGTGAGGATTATAAGCCTGCGATTTATTTATTATTATATTTTGAATTTGCCCATATTTTCCAAAGTATTCATTTTTTTTTAATATATTTTTTTTTGCATAATTGGCTGTGATGCCAATGACAAAGACGAGGTTGCGTTGAACAACCCTAATCCCTTTTATAATTTCAAATATATTTTCATGCTCATGAATATTATATGTGTTGGGGTTTTTGTATAATTCAGGTCTGTTAAAAATTGCACTGCTGCTTCCACTGTAGTGGTTAAGAAGAGCGTTGTTCGTAATACCTAGGAATGTGCTAGATGTTCCTACATTTTGGCCTGCCCCAGAAGAACCGCTAACTCCATTAGGAGCATTTGTACCATTATTATTGCTGCTGTTATTTGCATCTGTTTTATTTCCCTTGTGATTACTTTTTTGCTTTTTCACCAACTGTTCATGGGTCTCCCTATTATATATGAAATTCTTCTCATCGTAGCTTCTCCTACATGCAGGGCACTTATTGCACATGTGGTCTCGTATGTAATACAAGCACCACAAACATATCTGGTAGCCACAATCACAGGGGAAGAAGTTTCTGTCTGTCTCGTCTAACACTTCTACACACAATGGGCAGAGTATATTATTTTTGTCCTGACTATCCCCTTCCTCCTTATTGCCATTCCCTCCTCCATTGGGGCCACTCCCCTTGTTACACTCTTCTTCGTTTTTTGGAAGCAACTCCTTCTCCTTCCCACTGAGTGTCATTTTTGCGACTTTTTTATTCTTCGGTTCTGCTTCTTCCACGGTGTAAAATAAGTGCTCGTTGTTCAGCTCTCCTTCTTCTTCAGGGTCCCTGTCCCATGGGTCTTCGTGGCTCTGTACATCCACGTCCTTCCCCTTCCTTTCCGCTCCAGCACCCTTTCCGTTCGCACTCGCGCCGTTAGGGTTGCTGCTCTCGGCGACTCCGTTAACCTTTTTACTGCCACTACTTGCCTCCTCGAACTTTTCCCCTTTTTTATAATAGTAGGACCTGTTGAATGCCCTCCGTAAGTAGCGCTTATCAGTGGAGCTGCCCTTCTTCATCTTTTCCCCCCCCTGTTCGCGTCACGGGTGCGTGTGTCACGAATTCGTATTGTTATGGAAGTCCATGTCATGGACGCACAAGTCACTAGTGTGCACGTCATCGGTTTGCCAATCGCGCATGTTCCCCTCTACCCCTCCTGTGGCGTGGCGAAATGAGAAGGAGGAAGAACCGGCGCAATTACAAGAATGGCTACATAAAAGCTATGCCAAAGTTATAGTTATGGCTCAACTTTAGAACGGGCAATTGTACATGTAAATAAATTCATATATTTGTTGGTGTAGCTGCCAAAATGCTGCATCTCGCAGATGTTGTAGCTACGACCTTGTGAGCGTGGTGGTTAAAAAAAAAAAAAAAAAAAAGGTGGGGGAGCGCCACATGAGAACGGGTCAGGTGTGGAGAGAGGGGGATGCGATAAGTGTCGCCCTTTGTGTGTCCTTGACCGTTTTGTTTGCCCAGGTTATCCACTGGCCGTGATAAACCGGGCAGTGCGCCCAACGCGTCAAACGGCGGCAAACTGTGGCAAACTGGCGGCGAATTCAGCGGCCAGCAACTGCCAAGTCACTGCTGAGTCACAACACGGATGAAAAACATAACGTGCGTACCAACTTTCCACCAAACAATGGAAAAAATGAACGCTCGAAGAGAGAAAAAAAAAAAAGAGTAACGAAAAAATAAAAACAAACGACGGATCCTTAGAAAGTTTAAAAACCTGGATGAAAATAAATGAACTTCTCCATTTAATTACCTTCTCAGGAAACACTAACTTTTTTTTTTTTACTTGGGAATTGCAAGAATTTATTCTGCCCAGAAATTCAAAAAAAAGAAGAAGAAAAAAAAAAAAAAGGAAGAAGGAAAAAAAAAAAAAAGTGGAGTTTATAATAAAATGGAAATTTCCTCGATAAGCAATTTTAGCTGCAATGACGAGGTGAAGAAAAAAAAAACTTCAGATTATTTCTCACATAAAGAAAAAAAAAAAAAATGAAAAAAAAAAAAAAAAA